TGTACCCCGTGTTTTTAGATTTCATTTTTCAATAGACCGAATGTTTAAAAACATATCTTGGGGCATAGAGATCCCATGTGTTATATTTTCTAACCCCTTGGACTAGCTTGACTCACTTTTAACCCATCGTATAGGAGAGGGGTTATTACGAAATTGAATTTAACCCATGGTATAGGAGAGGGGTTATTACGAAATTGAATTTTTTTGGGTCTATATGAAATTTTCCATTTTTTTTTTTGGTTAAACACCATTTTTTCCTTTACAATGCTTGCTGGCATCATAAAGTGACACACATACTTCCATCGGTTCTAATGCTGATTGTTTTTCTTTTTAACCATTTCATCGAGTAGAAATTCTGGGCTTGTTGGGATGTAATCATTATCACCGATAATTTACTATTTCAATAAAATAAATATTGACAATAGATTATATGTTCTTTGACAATGTCCCTTATAAAATTATATGAAAAACTTATACACAGTTTTACATTTAAATTTATCTTTTTAAAAATCTATTTTCACTTTATTCAAAATAATTTTCTAAAATCATGTTGTTTTAGCCATATATAACAAAATAGAAAGTATTCAAAAAATAAATATAAAAATTAATTAATATTATATAATACAATGTATGTACAAAATAACTAATAGAATAATATTTTGATGAGTATGTTAATTTTCAGGTCAGATAGTTTAATTCTATTAATTATTATTTAAACGGGCCCTATAAGTATGTTATACTAATAGTTAGGACATTTGGACAAATCAGTTGCTTGAGACTTTCTATACCCAACTCAAGATAGATTGAAGGTTATTTATTTATTTTTTTCATCATTTTATTATGGCATATAATAAATATATATTTGAAACCCGGCGATCCAGATTTGGAATTGTTGATCTAGACTAGGAATCGGCCAAGACTGAATCCGTTTTGAGAAAGTATCAATACTAGCCCGGTTTCCCCCCTAAAACCCCCTTTCATTTTTTTTGTTGAAACTTATTTAACACAGTGGAGACCACTTCTTGTAGGGAGGTGGCTAGCAAATGTGCTTTAGAGATAAGGACATTGATATCTCTTGGCTCTATTATCTGAAGGACTTGGACTTGATCCTAGTTATTGGAATGAGAAATTTGGCAAGCATAATCTAATACAGATGATAAATTACTATCCACCATGTCCAGATCCCGAGCTTAACACTTGGGTCGTCATTCTGATCCAGATGGCATCACGGTTCTTCTGCAAGGTGAAGTAGGAGGATTGCAAGTGCTCAAAGATGGAAAATGGATCAACGTGAAACCGAAAAAAAATGTTTTTGTGGTAAACATAGGCTATCAATTGCAGGTACAATACATAGCTCTTCTTATGATTCTTATAATGCAGCCTATATTACCTTTATATAGAAAACCAACCCCAATTTACCTACTCGTATATGAATTAAATTATATGGTGCTACTTGTAAACAAGGAGTTACGAAGTGTTCACATATGTCAATACTAGGATCTTATTGTTTATACCATCTAAATGTCATTAACCTTTTTTGTATATGAATTAATCACATTGTGTTATTTTTAAACAAGAGTTACTAAGTATTCACATATGTCAATACTAGGTTCACATTGTTTACAATAACCATGACCTTTTTATTTGTGGGTAATTTAGCGGGAAAGAGCTCCTACCTATGGTGGAAATGAAATTGTAGACATTATGTTATGATGCCTTGCCATTTTGACCACTTAGGCTTGAGCCCAATCCTACTGTGACTAACATTAAGACTCCATGTATTTCACGGATCCAATTTGAAAAGTATCTTTAAGCCCAACAATAATATACAATTTCTATAAATCCATTGTAGAAAAATAAATATGTCATCTCGACAGTCAGATGACAATCAAGGAGCGTTGGGACGTGCCGTTCCTCAAACTCAAAAAGTTTTGATTTTATTGAGCGGCACAACAACATACTCCAACAATTTACATTGGACATATAAGGATTGTGGTAATGTGATTTTATATATAGTTTTTATTTGGGAATTAAATATTCTAAAAATATTATATGCACCCACAAGAGCATATTGTAGATTCAATCCTTCGGTCAAAAGAAAAATATCTTTGGATTGATTAGGGATCATTCAAATCCCAAAAGATATTCTATTCCTTTGGGAGTACACTGTCCATTTACTCCCTCAGGTAAAAACCCACCTAGGATTAATTTTAGGCCCCAAATTTTGGAAGTATAACCTCTTTAGCACATAGATTAACCTCAATAATTTTTTTTTTTTTTTTCTAATTGCACCTACTAAACGCTTCAAAAAAATTGTCTCAAGATTGAATAAAAAATGTCCAATTTTTAGAGGGTAAAATCTAAGTGTTAAGAAAATTCAAAGTCCAAATTTTTTCTTTCGAGAATAATCATCTCGTGATTCAATTTCAGATTGAAAAATCCTCCCTAGTAGGTCATTTGACCTAGGGATAGAATTGAACTATGCTCCTGAGGGAGCAAGGTATGCTCGATATTCGAAATTTTGGACTGTCTGAGAAATTTTTTATTTTTTAAATACAGATCCAGTGATTCTAATGTTGCTTTACTATAGAAAAAACAGAGAGCTTTATCCGTTGGTGTGAATGGCTTAGGTTATTAGCAATGGGAAGTTCAAAAGTATTGAACACCACATCATCTCGAATTTCAATACCAACATTTTATGGCCCCTTTATGAATGCATTCATTGAGCTTAGCAATGAATTAGTGAGTAAAGAAAGCCCTGCATTTTACAGGAGTTACAGATATGAGGAATTCTTTGACAGGTTTTTTTAGCCAAGAACTCACGGGGAAAGCAGTCCTTGACCACTTCAAGTATTATTCATAGTAAATATTTCAAGGGCCCTATGAGAGGCAATAGTATCATGAACCACCTTGAGCTTGGTGCTATTGGTACCATGGTTGTCAATATTCTACAGCATATCTGGTTCCGTATGGTGAGTGCATTTAGTGAAAATTAGGGATTCATGTACTGGACACAACTGTTTTAAATGGTAGTGAGCCTTTGCCATATTATATAATGTTGGAAGGCAGAATAGAAATTGCGAACCATTTGAGAGTCACATTTAATACATATTTTTCTAAATAAATGATGTAAAAGAGGATCCGAAAAACAGAATCTTGGAAAGATTACTTAAATTATTATAATCATAAAAAAATTATTATAATCATAGAAAAAGGAAAAAGTTTATATAGAGCCGAGGCTCTAAACGATCAAATTAGAACCCACCTCAAAAATTTCGCTAGAAGAGGTTGTTTTGATGTACAAATATCCTCAAATTGATCATCTCGATATCAAGATGCATGGACATGAAAAAAAAATTGATTTCAAGTTTTGGAAATAGTGCATCTTGTAACACATTTTTAGACCGTCAATTTTCAAGATTTTGAAGTTTCCATAGATCTCCTTGATCTGCACTGTTTTTGAAGTTTTAAATTTTATAATTCAAGATAAAAAAATATTTTGAAGCTATCACAAAGATTTTCAGTATTGAAACCACATTTGTCGACATTATTTGAAGGTGCGCTTTATTTTGATTGTTTAGAGCCTCAGCTCTATGCAAACCACACCCATTCTATTGGCTAAAAATTAATTTTATATTTTATATTTTATTTTGTTTTTAACGCAAAATATTTAGCTAAATTTTGGGGTTTCTTTTTTTTTTATAAATAACTAAACAAAAACTATTAAAGTATTTTTAAATAAAAATACATTTAAATTTATATTGATGAATATTTTTATTCAAAATATGTAAAACTGGAATTCAAGACGTCATGTTATAGTGCCCCGCCACCCTGACTAGCTGAATAAGAAATTGTTATATTAAGGCTCGATGTGTTTCATGGATCCAATTTGAAAAGCATCTTTATCTCCACAAAATAGAAAAACGGCCCTTAATGAGTCCATGTGTTTAGGAGTTCAGATACAATTTCAGGGAGTCCATTGTAGGAAAATAAATATGTCATCTCGACAGTCAGATGTCAATCCTGGGTACGCTGTTCTTCCGGCTCAGGGTTTTGACTTTCTTTGAGCGATACAACAACACACTCCAACTATTTCCATTGGACATATGAGGGTCGTGGTGATGTGATTTTATGTATAGTTTTTACTTGGCAATTGAATATTCCAAAAAGATTTTATGCACACCCACAAAAGCATATTGCAGATTCATTCCCTTTGTTCAAATCCCAAATGATATTCTACTCCCTCGAAAGTATACTGTCCATTTACTTCCTCAGATAAAACCCCACCTAGGCCCCCAAAATTTTTGAGATATAACCTCTTTAATACATATATTAACCTCAACAAAAAATATTGTTTAATTGCACCCTCTAAACACATGAAAAGGATTATATCTCAAGATTGAGTAGAAACCGTCCAATTTACAGATGGTGAGATCTAAGTATCTTGAAAAGGATTATATCTCAAGATTGAGTAGAAACGGTCCAATTTTTAGAGGGTGAGATCTAAATATTAGAAAATTCAAATTTCAAATTTTTTTTTCTAATGTAAATAATCATCTTGTTATATTTAAGTAGTTTCCAAAAATTCAACTCGTAAAAATCCTCGAGTAGGTCATCTGACCGACGCACTAAAAATGAACTATGCTCCCGAGGGAGCATAGTATATGGAATGCATTCAAATTTTGGACTGTATGAGAACTTCTTTTATTTTTTATTTGTTTTAATACTGATCCAGTGATTCTAATATCTTAAGTTGATTCTAAAGTTTCATGTTGAGAAAACCCACCAAATATGTGTCCTAGCCGAGGGAGTAGATGTACATTACTAAATTATTCTTCCCCCCCCCCACAGGAGTATGCTCTTTTGGGGACTCCAATATCTTCGCAAGTTCTTTTTAGTTTTCTATCTCTCTTACCGTCTTTCACTTTCTGTTCTATGCTATCATGTGCTTTATCATACAAAAAAATAGAGCGCTTTATGTGTTGGTGTGAATGGTTTAGGTTATCAGCAACGGGAGGTTCAAAAGCGTGGAACACCGTGCAATTACGAAATCCACATCCTCTCGAATTTCATTACCAACATTTTATGGTCCCTCTTTGGATGCATCAATTGGGCCTGCCAATGAATTAGTGAGCAAAGAAAGCCCTGCAATTTACAGGAGTTACACATTTGGGGAGTTCTTTGACAGGTTTTTTAGCCAGGAACTCAAGGGGGAAAACAGTCCTTGACCACTTCAAGTATTGTGCAGAGTGAATATTTCAAGGGCTCTATAAGGCATAGCATCCTGAACCACAATGAGTTTGATGCATTTGGTGACATGGTTGTCAATATTCTACAGCTTACCTGGCTCCATATGGTGAATGCATTTAGTGAAAATAAGGGTTTCAAGTCCTGTACTGGACACAACTGTTTTCAATGGAAGTGTGCCTTTGCCTAATTATATAATGTTGGAAGGTTGTTGGAAGGTAGAATAGAGATTGCAGCAACAATTTGAGAGTATCATTTAATACAAATCGTTTATATATTTGCTAAATAGCTTAGGTAAAAGAGGATCTGAAAACAATCTCTTGAAACTATTACTTAAATTTATTATAATCATAAGAAAATTACTTATGTAGGCTCGAATTTTATTGTTCAGTGCCTCTGCTCTATATCCCTTAGTAAAAACCCATTATTTTTAAAATTGATTGTGAAAGTTCCACGAATTTTGGTTTCATTTGATTCATACGTAATTGTTGGGCTCATAGAGTCAAGTCCTCATACATGAATACGGATGCGTGCAGCGGAACCAAGATTCATGGGACACAAAATATACCAGAAACAATGTGCGTGTGTTTATGAGTGGAAAAATCAAGCAATAAAATAAATAAAATAAAAATTACTCACTAACACCGAGATATTACGTAGTTCACCTTTTAAGCTACATCCATTGGAGAATAAGATCAAATCCACTATTAAAGATAATGTTTAGAATGTTATTCCAAGAAGTAAGTTTTTTTGAACTCTCTGATTTCTTCTAATGACTTTATCTATCTAGGTTTTCCCTCTTTGAGGTTCTTCTCTCTCTCATAAGCTTCTTTTCTTTCTCAGAGGCATTCTATCACCAATTTTCGAGAAGGTCTCTAAAATATTTGAGTTCTATAAGCTCAAGGTCGATCTACTCCCAACCCGGAGAGATAAGTTAGGTCGGTGCATGATTTGCTTTTGGTTTAGGAAATAGGTCTTTAGTATAAGTAGAGATTTTCTTTAATTATCCTTATGAAAGAGAAGCTAACACGAGATTTAAAGAGATCTAGATAAAAATTTAGGGTTTTGGATTGGATAAAGCCAATCATGAAAGAGAGATAAATAAAGGGGAGTTAAAAGTTAGGAGATTAGAGAGAAACAGGAGGAAAGAGAAAAAAATAGGGAGATAAAGAGTTAGAAAATAGGGTAGGAGAGGAAAAACATGGAAGAGAGAGATAACTTTTATCGTTCTTTTATTTCTTTAATTATTTCTTTTGTTCAAAGTTTATTTAAAAGGAGATGTCTCTTCATTTTGCGGTGAATTCCCTTACAAAAATTGAGAGATGGTGTATTCTATCAACTATATTATTATTATTTTTGTTATTGTATCAGTTTTATTTTCTCCATGGAGTACTTATACCCGCTTCTGCATCATATCACTAAGGATATCGGTGAACAAAAAGGGTAAAGAAAATGCAAAATATAAGAAAATAGAGGGAGAAAGAAAGAAAAAAGAACAAAAATATCGTGGACGGGTGGAAGGGTATGCAAGCACCATTCCATTATAAGAGATTTCACAATGTTGAAATCTAGTGGCTCAAAATTAATTTTATTTTGGGGGTTTGTATAAGGTTGCAAACTTAAAGAATCGAATCAAGGCGCACCTCCAAATTTTATGATAACATGTATTTTTGATGTAAAAAATACTTTGGATTATTTAAAGTCTATTTTTTTCTTTAAATATAAAATTTTAAACTTAAAAAATAGTTAAAATCATGTAGATCTATAAACATATGGAAATCTTAAAAATGAACAATCTAGACAATGTGTTGCAAGATGCACTTGTTTTGGTACTCAAAATCGTTTTTTTTTTTTCTTCATATCATACATCTCGATGTCGAGATGATCAATTCGATGATTTTTTTTCTTCATAGCCATACATTTCAATGGCCTATCTCCGACCTATTTAAAATGGGAAAAGGAAGTCTCATTTCCCCTACCAACCATTCATCTCACATCTTTGGCAACTATCTGTTTAGTGGAAGAAATGGCTCATGCCTATCGTTGCCATACTTTACAACTGAGACTTGACACCACAACTGCTCCTGATATGCAGACTCCTCCACCATCATTTGGATAAAAGGCCTCTATTTTAACGTTAGGGAATAATGAAAGTTAATTGGATGCACACTTCTGATATGCACACTCCTCCAAGAGTTAGTCCAACATGAGGGAATAATGAAAGTTAATAGGATGCAAGGTATAAAAGTGCCCTATCAAGTAGGTGACTTAAAGCTTAATTGACCATCTTGTAACGAGTGGTGTGTCAAAATTAAAGAAATTAAAAAAAAAAACAGTCCCAATTTGATGTACACGATTTTAGAACAACAATGTGTGAATTAGTCATTGTGTCTCAAAAATTTTTAATTCGATCAAACGATCCAATCCAGATTGGCATTCTTTAAAGGAAAAGTGTTTGGTGACTCAGCCGACTAACCGGTAAATATGAGGTCATGTTGGGTTTGGCCATTATGTATACGATCTTGGGTAGGATCCCGGTATCTGAGATTCTCGGTTTTGCAAGCTAGGGTTCCTGGTAACCTTACAATTGGTATCAGAGGACAAGGTGTGTACGGGGCTAAGACTTATATTAAGAAAAATATGAATAATGAAGTGTGATGGATACATGGTTTGAGGTGGAGAAATACGGATGCAAAGTGTTTTAGAAAATTCCACAATGGAAGCAAGCGATAAGAAATTAAGAAATCTATTAAATGAAAGTTGGCAAGATGAATTTGGTGATTTTACGATCAAAGTGGAGATTATTAGATTTGTTGATAGTCATAGTCACTATACCTATATTTTATTCGAAAAATTGAGAGTAATATGAGAAAAGAAAATGGGGGCTTCTTTGAGGAATAAAATAAAGCCTAAGTGATCTCTTTAAAAGAGGACCAAAGGAAGACATAATACTCATCCTTTTGAGGGTCACCTCCTAGGGGTTATGGGAAGGAATCTCCAATATGGAGATAGGTTTCCAAGAGAGAGAGAAAAAGAGAGAAAGTCTCTCGATTGCTCTCAAGTTGCTCCTTTCGATAGCAGCATAGCCGTAGGAGAAAAAGATGTTGATCATTGGTGTTACTCTGTCGGGAGAGCGGGTTTAGAAGGGAAGATCAATAAGGTTCTTACTGAAGTTTAGAAATAGGTATATCTTTTGTACCCAAAAACTATAATCGTCATTGTAATATTGGATTTCTACTTGCCAAAACTGTGAATATAGCCTTATGGGGTGAACCACGTAAATCATGTGTTGTGGTGGTATGGTTTATTATTATTATTTTATTTTTTGCACTTGATTTGTAGTTGTATTTGTCTACTTCAGATTTAGCCTTCTATATACACGATCTTGGGTGGGATCTTGGTATTTGAGATTCCTGGTTACGCATACTACAGGGTCCTAATAACCCTACAATCCCTCTTAAAATATCCAAACATTTAAGATTTAATAATCTCTACTATTGTGGTTTACGTATATAGAATATTTTATTTTTGAAAATAAAAAATTATGGTTTCCACCTTCCATTTTGATATAGTGAAATTATATTTTTTGACATCCATCTTTAATATGGATGCCTAAGGCATAAGGAGACACCTATTTGTGTGAGCCGGTGGCTCACCAAAACTATGTCCTTTTTAAAAACCCTGGGTCAACCTACCCTGCATGTGCTCTCCAAAAAGGGTGTTTTGTAGGCTTAGTCTTGCATGTTCTCTTCACTTAGGATCATTTATAGGCTTCCCCCATCTATCACTCTCTTCCCTTAAAATAAAATGAGGAATGGGGCAATTTATAAAAATATTCTAGTGAATATATAACATCCGTTAATAATGCTAATGCTCTTCCATATATCATTTCAAGTTTGCTAGAAATAATTTTTAAAGGGGAAATATCCTCGTTCCCTCTATTTTTGGCTTTCATATCTTAATAGACCGAATGATTCAAAATATATCTCAAAACCTCTTGATTAACTTTATCCACTTTTAACTATTTTTTAGCACTAACAAATATAAAAAAGATATGCTCATTCTAAATCCTTCATCTCTTTACGTGATATATTCCCCCCAAATTTCTCTCTTTAACATTCACCCTCTTTGTCTCTCTAAGGGGGAGAGAGAGAGAGTGAGAGACGCGGGGAAGGGGAGATTGAATGGGAAAATAGGTAGAGAGAGAGATTTAGGAGAAAATTACGTGAAAAGGGAAATGATGATGTTTAGAAAGGATTTCTTTCATATATTTAAAAAAATAGGTTTGAAAGGAATAAACATAGCTTAGGGGGTTAAAAGATATAAAACTTATAATTTTTATAACCGAAGATATGTTTTGAAAACTTCGGTCGACTGATATATAAAACTTAAAAATGGGAGGTATGAAGATATTTTCCCATTTTAAATAGAACAACCAGCAAAAAAAACGAAAAAAACACCAATACTTAATTGCTATGATGGATAATTTGTTTAAACATACATAAGGCCTACCTATAACTAAATAAATGTAAAAATAACTTTAGAGAATTACTGCCAACTATGAAGAAGCAAAATTGCTAATAACGAATCAAAATTATGAGATAATATGGAAACTATTACTTTATTATAGTCTTATAAAAAGTACATTTAGTGAGTCTGCATTACCTGTTTTGAGGAGGTACATCAACGATGGATGTCTCATAAATGAGGAGACACATGTTTTGATTAGTTCGTTGACTCACCAAAACTTTGTCTTTATCACATGAGTAGAACAAGGAGGCTATGGTCAAAGCCTACTTGTGTCAATGTATCTCGCCTTATTTGGAAATAATATCACTATAGATATCCATGGGCAAAAAAGGTAAAAGAAAATGCACACTATAGGAAAATGGAGGGAGAAAAGTTAAATTTAGATTTCACAATACTGTTTCTATTGGCTAAAAATTAAGTTTATATTTTATT